GCATTTTGACTCTATTTTTGAAGGCTGAAATAGCCAAAATGTTAGGATCATATTGGCTCCTTTCAGTGAACTACAATGGCTACACATACCATTTTGACCCTAGTTGCTATAGCTAAAACAGTCAATGTCACAGAGTCAAAATAGCCTTTCCCAAAACTGTTTCAGTACCCCAAGTTTCCAAATCAGTATCACAAAGGGGTCGTTTTAACCCATTTTCAGAGCCAAATTGATCCTTTTAGAAGGAGCCAAAATGGCCCTTAATTTAAGGGACTGAATCAGCCCTGAAAAAGGGTGCCATATTTTACTCACCGATTTGGCCCCTTTTTTGGGGCCGAATCAGCTCTTATCCGATTTACAGTGTATGTTGTACAATGCAGACAATGAAAAGAGTTTATTCTACAACAACTGTCAATAAAGAACGGTTACTCACGACAACATAGTTTGTTCTTCACACCTTCACGAATGTAAGATAATCGAAGCGATACGATGATCGGGTTCAACAGGGACTGTAGATGGATGAACGTCGCGGCAAATCCAGGAGTCGAGATAAAGTTGGATCTGTCTCCACCATTGTTGGCTAGTAGGATGGCATTGATGATGTATGGGCAGTAGAGAAGAATCGATGCAAGGACTAATACACCCATGGTAAATGCTCGCTTGTGTTCCTCAAGTCGCCTTTCCTGCTTTTCTTGTTCTTCCTGTTGCAGTTGTACTGTCGCTGCATGTGCGGCGATGGCTCTTCTTTGACGGTAGGCGGTGACTTGTACTTTCATTGAGCAATATAAAATGATGAGAACATTCAGACCGGCAGCCACTGCGATCGGTGCTTTTTGCAAATGGCCGTGGTCGTTCAAAAGGATTCTTGCTGATAATGTTGCTGTTGGAATGATCAAACACGCTAAGACCGTTGCGAGAATGATTTTCTTGGTTGTGACCTTTTCCAGGTAGAACTGAGTGTGTTCTATGGCCAGGTACCTCTCAACGCTGGACACCATGAATATTATAAGTGTAGAACCAGCGCATGATATCTGTGCTATAATGGTAGGGGTAGCAGTACATGATGTTGAACATCCCAAAACGAAGCATATGAGGTGGAATGAGAACAGAGGCTCTACCACAAGTCCTACAATCAGGTCAGTCACTGCCAGAGCAGCAAGCAAGATGTTGTAGTTGACATTTCTCAGATTTGTGTCCTTCACCACCGTCCAAATGATTAACAGGTTAATCACGATGGTCAGAGGAGAAGCAATGCTGTTGACGATCGAAAGGATGATCCAAGTGTGGCGGACAGAATCGGGCAAGTAGCCGATACTAACATAATACTCTAGTGATTTATCTGAGATCAGACAACCAGAGTAACTGGTTCTTGTAAGAGTAGACATGTTCTTTACATGACGGACGACAATGTTCATGTAAAACTCTCTCGTTGAGCACATAGATTAAACCTTTTGATTCAGTAAAAATAGCATCGGTAGAAGCATTGTGAACAACTCTGTAAAGACTGTAAAGAATGATTTTCATTGGATGAAAGAACAATATTATCTATTTACAGTAGATTTTGAGCAATTAGTCTGAATAAGTTGTGAATATACTATGTGTGAAAAACTGACCTTTTCTGCTTTATTCATATTGAATTTTCTGACAACTTTTATCAAGGTTGTAACATTTAAATGTTCTGCAATTTTACATATTTTGCGACCACTACAAGAGGAAACAATCAAAACATATGGAAAGATAAAGGAATTGTTCAAGTTT